ATATATGTGTCAAACAATTTCTTACCATTATTTGCGGACAGGTTACAGATGGCTAACATCTCAGCCACAAATTATTTCAAAAATTGAATCTTTAGTTGGTGATAACGTTATTATCAAAGAGGCCAGAAAAAACTCTTCGTTTTGATTTTTCTTATCATTAAGCAGCGGCGTCTTCTTTACAAACGCATGTTACCTAGCCAAACTCTTCCAGGTACGTAAAGCTTAATTTTAGAGTTTCTATTACCGACCAAATGGAACATTTAGGAGTATAAAAGTACTTGGACTTTTTCTTTGCTCGATTTTCTGTTGTAGAAAGTAAAATTGTATCTTTTATTCGGCATCATCAACATCTATTCAATAATTCTGCAGGTTGTTAGCACCCGCATAAGGTTACAATTAAACGAATTTAACGTCAACTGTATTCTTCTATGTTTCTTTTCTCTAAAATTAATGTGTTTCTCATGCTTTTCCATTCAAACATATATTTGGACAACTAAATGAGCTAAAAATTTCTATACATTATCATAAACAAACGCAACTGACAGAGTATATTAGAGTAAAAAAAACTTGTCTAAATCTATCAGCAGTAAAAGAATTTTAAAAACACCATTTTTTTTTTGCTTTTTTTAAAGCTATTCAACTATGTTCAAAAGAAAGAAAAAACGACAGAGTAATTGAAGTGTAAGGTGCGCTAGCCGCATTTTTGAAATAAAAAGTCTAATGTTGTTAAAAGGTAACTGTAAAACCCACTGCTTAACACGTCAGCTGTATCTTTTCTTTATTTCTTTTCACTTTCTGTTTATTGCTGACAGCTTCATCTCTGATGAGTCCGAATGATACAGATAGTTACAGATGTGACCTTTAATAAACTTAACGCTAGAAGGCTGGATGGTACCAAAAATATACTGATAGGTAGATATGAAAGTCGAAAGGTCGCTGTAAAAAAATTTGATCTACAGGACGGGTTAGATGAACTTGTTGGCTTCGGTTTAGAAAATAAAAACATCATAGGTTTTATGTAAGTGCTATTTTTTGATAACATTATTGGACATTTCATGTTTCGCTATTCTTCATTTATTTGTCGTTAATTACTTAAGAGTAACATTTTTGTGATCACTATTCTAGAATTTTTTGAGTATAAATTTAATTGCAACGTTTGAACTGTTTTACAGTGCCAAATGCAGTGAGGAACGAAACTACTGCATTGTCATGGAATATTGTGAAAAGGGATCGATGCGTGATCTGCTAGAGAGAAGTAACCAAATCCAAAAAGAACAGTTCTTTTCATGGGGGACACAGATTGTTAACGGAATGAAGTACTTGCACGAAAAAAATATTATACATCGAGACTTGAAGCCGGAACAGTAATTCTTTTCATCGTCATTGTTACTGAGTCGAATTATCAGCAGACCTCCATTTTCTTCATTTTAGCATTCTCTTGGACGGAGAAAATAATATTAAAATTACCGGTTTTAATTCTTCAATAAAAGAAGCCACTATAGAGGACACAACGATGACTCATTGTGGCACATATGCATATATGGCTCCTGAAATGATTAAGCAAGATCAATGCTCAACCAAAGTTTGTTTTCTTTCATCGTACCATTTTGTTATAAGACAAAACAAATATGCAAAATTTCTTTTTTTTCTACGGTAACAGCGCAACCATTTTAGATTGACGTTTACTCTTATGGAGTTGTGACTTGGGAGCTTTTAACAAGAGTGAAACCTTATAAGGGCGTTAAAATAAGTCAACTTGTTCTTCATCTTCCTGGGTTGGTCATAAAATGATCAATTATTTGTTGCTTTACAATATGCCTGACTGGCTGCCGTTTTTCGACTTCAGAAACAAAGAAAAATATATTTTAGCAGAGCCAAGTTACCAATACCTCCAGATTTGTTTAAAGCAGTAAAGAAGCTACTTGAAGGCTGCCTATTTATGAATCCGCAAGTCAGATTTTCGTTCACAGAAGTTTCACAGCTTCTTGAGAAAAAGGTACTGCTTGTGCTTCATTTATTCTTCCATTTCAATAGAATATGTTTCATTACAAATAAAGTTATTTATCCTTGGTAGTACTTTCAGGTGAAGAAGGAATTATCAAAAATTAAAGATAGCGATTGGAATCAATCGACATCTTCATGGAATTCATATTGTACTAAGAAAATGAGTGAAATGAGAGAGTCACTGAAATAATAGACGCCGTGAAAACTTGTCAACTTCTAAGTCTTTAGTCTTTTTTTGACAATGAATGTGTTTTCTAACAAAAAAAAATTTTTTTGCACTAAACAAACAAATTATTAGAACGATTACATGAAGAAGTTGAGAAAAAGCAAAAAAAATTTTGTTCCAACAGCACAATAGTCGCAGGTCTACAGCTATTTGCTGAGGTAAGCCACTAAAATGCGCATCAAAACTTGACTGAATCTAAAATTTTACAAGAAAAAAATTTTTGAAAAGTGAAACAGCTAATACTGAGGCAGTACTTTTTATTATAAATGACCAGCATTATCAAAATATAGCTGAATATATCAGGTTTTGATCGTTGCTTTTATTGCCTTAAATTTTCTGCTTTTTTCTCACCAATGACAATTTTTGCTGTACGATATGGAAATGCTAAAAACGATTACAGAAATGTGGAAGCTAAAACAATTGCAGAATTATACAGAATGAAAAGTTTTACGTAAAGGCAAATGATGCAAAAGTTGCTCAAGTTGAGAAACAAATTAAACTATCTTTAAAAAACGGCAACTTTGCTGCCTCAGTACTATTGAAGTTTTATAACTGCCATTTAATAATACCGTTGAATGCTTAAATCAGTTTAGATCTTTTCCTTTGTTGTATCTGAGAAGATATAGCTTTTGTGTTTTTATTTCCTATAATATTTGAAACTGTAAATAAAACTTTTCAAACAACTGTATGATGTCTGCAGCTATTGCAATAGTTTACAATAGAACAAAATCATTTTTGAAAAAATAAAGAAGAAATAAGGCATACTTTGATTAATACTTTTTTGAAACAGCTATTTTTTCAAAAATAAAGTGAAAATGAATGGTAATATTTTAAAAATGAACGGATAGACACTGAACAGAGGCATATGTCACCACTTAAGTTTCAGTGTTGTTTTCTCAAATGTACAGTTTTATGTCATCATATTTGAACTGTTGTAAATTGTAAAACAAAACCTCAAAAAGATAAAAAGTTTTTTTTTCTTGGTTTTGATAGTCGATTTTTCTACCTATGCAGTCGGTGTGCAATAGATTGGTGTTAAAATAATCGGCTTATTCAATGGATGTTGTTGAATAAATCGACACTAACTTACGGGAACGGCATATTAATGCTCTCTGCACCGGTTCTTCTCTCCTATATCCCATCTAACCCTCCCCACCGACAACAAAAAATCACTCTTGATAACTAAAATAACTGAAAAGTCTAACAAATAAAATTTTAAAACTATTATTTAAACTGTGCTTGTCAACGTAGATTCCTGCAACAAAAAAATTTTTGCTCTAACTTTCATTGCGGCTGGGCGATGCCATTAGTGACTATAGACTTGTTTTCGACATAGGCTTGAGATAAGAAAATCAGTATTTCATGAAGTGTTACTCGCTTTTTCTGACATTCAGTACACTGTATGCATATGTTATCAAAGACTTTAAAATTCTCTCAACAAGGTATTCAAAATTTTATTGACTTTCCTTTCTTCTTAAACAATATTTACGTAGATAATACATATGAAAAACTTTGACAGCAAGAAATATTTGATAGTTAAATCGATTTTGAATAAGGCTTATTGTACTGATTCTTTTAAAAGCACTGTAATATTTTTTTTTAAGCAGAGGTGAAGTTCGTGGTTTAAAGGTGCTAACAAATAGGAATGTAAGTGCTTACATTTTCTTGGGAATACACTACGCTGAATCGCCGGCAGGTAGTAATCGATGGAAATTGCCAATCCCAAAGACACCATGGAACGGCATCCTGAATGCGGTTTCCGATAAAAAATCGTGTATATGGAAGTCTACGTAAGTTTATAGTAATAGCTCCTTCTGGATATCAATTTCAAAACCGAATTTCTAATTTTTAACCTAATGATCAGCATATATTTCTAGGCAAAGCCCTCAGACAGATCCTTTTATTGTTGAAATGACAGAAGATTGCCTATACCTAGATGTATTTACAAGTAAGTATTGCCTGAAAACAAAAAACTGTTCAGTAATCTTCTTCGTACACGGCGGAAATTTTATTTATAGTTCACCACACGCAGTCAACAAAGACTTTGTAGTAAGTTTTATTACTCTTTAGCATTTAGAATTATTGTTTTCATGAAACGTTCGGAAAAACCTGATAAATTAAAGATGTAACCGTTGATATTTAGCACTTCAGAGCTGTTATTATGTTGCTTCAGATCGACAATTACTTGACAAAAGATCGTTCTGTAATCACGGTTATTCCTGCATATCGACTTGGTTTATTTGGTTACTTCAACTTGAGCCCATCAATTATCACTTCTGCTGTAAAAAATATTCAACTACACGGTAAATTATTATCAAATACATAAATATTAAATTTTATTAGAATGCCTTATTTTAAATGTTTTTCAGTAGCCACTTTCAAGGTTTCAGACTTGATAGCTGCTCTTCGCTGGGTGCAGGAAGATATCAAAAGTTTTGGAGGTGACGCAAATCATGTAACTCTTATGGGACATAGCAGTGGAGCAACTGATGCTAATCTGGTGCAGTTAAAAAAATTCTTCTTGTAACTTTGTTCAGTGATTGACAAATCTGTGTAATTTTCTGTAAAGCATTTAGATCATCTCTTACATATTTCTAGTCCAAATTATATGTGCTGTTAATGACTGACAGTTTCTGCAACCTATCACTGGAGATACGATCTTTTTAAGAAGAAAAAATTTTTACAGACTTTCAGTCAAATACATTTACTTTTAAATTTGTGCCATTCAACTTTGTACCTTCGACCTTCTGACACTAAGACATACAAATCTGTGATTTTTAGCTTACAATGTCACCTCTTACAGATGGCTTGTATAAACAGGCAATCGTTTTTGGTGGTGGCCTACTTCTACCCTTTACATACAGTATGTGTCTACTGCCATTCAGACGCTTATTCTGTTTGAAGAAATATATGCATTTGGCTAAGATTTAGCACAAATTTTAGTTGAGTGAAAATACATATGATTAGCGAAATCAACTTATGTAGCCATATTGCAATGGATTAAAGTTTAACAATTATGTTCGACTTTCATCGGAATGAAAATTACTCGTTTTGAGCAAATTAGATTTACATTACAATGTTGATCACTTCATCAAAAGCACCTTCTTTTTTTCAGCAGCTAATCAGGCTGCCAGTCGAAGACTAGCCACACTTACAGGATGTGCTTCACCTGTTCAACGTTACTGGAATGTTTCAGAGGTTGAAGAAGTAATTGAATGTTTAAGAGACGTTGACTCTGCCACAATGATCAAACTGCAGGAGAAGCTGAAAGATGAGAAATTTTCGTTTAATGGTCCATGTTTGGAGATGAATACCGGTGTATGCTTTATAAGAAAAATAAACTTTCAGTAAAATTTAAATTTGTAAAGTATTCACTGAGTGGTATTATTTTAGGTTTTGCCAGAGCCACTCAGTAGGTTAAGGAAGAAAAGACATAAAATTAACATTTTTACTGGTACAACCAAACATGAAACCAGAAGTACGGCATACACAATTAACACAGACGGTTCAGTAAACAAAGTACTTCTGCAGAAAGAATGTTTGGAGATGATGGAGGCATTTGGCATTAGAAAACCAGAAAAAGCGCTTGATGAATGTACCAGTTATTACTCTAATGGTTATTCCATGCTTTTTTACTTTTCTTTAATGTATGTATTTTGTTCAAGCCTGTAATTTTTAATAAACATTTGAATTAGTAATATTTTAAAAAATGGTAAAGAATGAGATGGTGAAACTGACATATGATTCAAGTTTGGTGTTTAGTGGTTAGATAAGCCACTGCTGTATATCCTTAAAGAATTTTTTTACTTCAGCTAGTAAGGCACCACATATTCGCGACGATGCAACGATGTATCTATCGGCAATTCTGAATGCTGACGATATTGTTAAAAGTTGGTTTATTAAATCTGAACAAGCAAGGTTCATTTGTTTGAATAAATAGTAAAAAAAGAAAGGAGAAAGAATACTTCTCGAACAACTACCAAAAAAACTGTAAACGTTACAGTAAATATATTACTTTCCTGTGCAAACATTTCTGAAAAACAAAAAATTCTTTTGCCAAATAAAATCAAAAAATTTTTTAATTACAAAATATATTGAATGTTAAATCCTTTTCTTTTTACATACAATAAAGAAGATTATTTGCCAGAAAAAAGGCCACATAATTAGTAATTTAAATGACCAACGTCTGCATTCAGAAGGAGGTCGAGCTTTTATTCATGAATATCAATACGAATTTGCTGGCAAAGCATTTGATTATCCAAGACAAAAATTTGATGATCCGCATCCAATGCACGTTGAACATTTGGTACGCGTTTTTTTTTTTTTTTTCAAGCATCAGATTTTTGAGAAAAATAGAACGCTACTGTTCATATACAAATACTGTTTATTTCAGTTGTACATTTTGGGACATTACAGTGGCAACTTTACAAAAACAGACGAAATTATAAGAAAAAAATTTTCCCAACTGATCGTTAACTTTGTCAACAACGGCGATCCGTCACCAAGATCTGACCACATTTTCCAACCTTACAACAAACAACGTGGCAATTATATAGCAGTCGATATGCATGAGAATAATGATGTGACAGTGGTAAAGTACAATTATCATAAAGACGCAGATGACCTTTGGAACCAACTTCTACCAAGGTAGAAAAAAGCTTTTCTTCTTCTTCAAACGTTTCCACTGCATAACTTTTTTAGGCTTGGAGAGGGAATCGTTGACACTCTGCATAAAGAAGAGGCGTTTAACTCAAGTGGTAAGAAACTTGTTAAGCGATGTAAACTTTTAAGATTTTTAAAACTTTCCTTCTTCATAAATTATTACAAATCTTTTTGTTACAACAAATGCCGTTTGTTTGCTGTTCAATTAATCAGCGCAACACTTTTTTACAGCGAAAGACAGTACTCACTGATAATGTCGAAATTTTTTAAGACACAGGTCCGTTTTTTAAATTTATCAGTAGTAGAAGATCTGTAAAAGTTTTAGGCATCTGGCGGTGAGTTCTAAGTATAAAGAAGATAGTTTTATTGAAGCTTCAAGAGTGTCAACAAAACTGTTACGCGACAATCCTTTCTTCTTCTGATTGAAGGATGATGTTTTTCAAAAAAGTAATATATGTAATAAAACGATAAAGGTTTATTTGTTATTCTAAAGGTAACCAAATTCTAGATTTTGAAGGCGCTATAGAGTTACTAACAAAAATTTAAAACTTTGGCACAAATGAAGTAAAATGAAAAAAAATTTTTTTCGGTCAATGAAGTGCTGCACAAAGCATTATTACTAGCCGATTAATGCATAAAGGACTGATGGAAATAAACACTGTCTCATAAATTCTAATAAATGATTGATTGCAACCTCCAGTTTTTTACCGTTGTCCTCAGCTCCCAAATTTTTAGAATATCTCCTTCCGAAACCTCCTTCTTATTCTATTTTCCATTTTCCAGGTATAAATCCCATGTCCAGTTCAACTGGCAACTCCTCTGATGTTAGCCAATTTCATAAATATTACGTTCACCTATGCGCATTGCATA